TTGTGCAAATGTGTATGTAACAATAATCATTACCATGTGTGATGATCGTGTTCATGTTGATCGTACCCAGAATAAATTAAGATCGATGCATTTTTATTCACTCTTACCGAGACCTTTAATATGTACATATGTGTATCGTATACATTCTCAAACGTTCTCTATATTTTCCGTCCTGTCACGTGCGCATCGTAAAAATGAACATGTAAATTAATTTATTATGCTTTGTTCTTAAAAATCGGTACGATAGAACTTATGTGTACAACGACATAAAAAGACTTTTTGCACTATACTCTATATTCGCTATATGTATATGTATACAGTCGACGATCTTTCATCATTAGTTTTTTTTTCTTCTTCTTCGAATGTGCATTTCACTCAAGTAACATGTGTACATCGATAAAAAAGAAAGTACAATAAAAAAGTGAGGACAATAAAAAACTCTACGACGTTCGTATCACGTGTTGATATACCTTATAGGAAATTCAGTCAAAATGTTATCAAAACCATGTAAATTCTATCAACGTTCACTGAATGTGTATAATTCTATTGGTGTCGTTTTATATAAATTTAAAACATTTTTGCTTATCGTGTGGTATTCTCGTTTTAAACAATATCGAGTCAGCTCGGTATTGGGTGTTTAAAAGAGGCATATATCCAAAAACCTGAAAATATCAGAATTCCCATACTTTAAAAATCGCACGCTGCTGCTGCTGTGTTTCAATTTTTTTTTTAAATACGTTTAAAAAAAACGAAAAATTATCAAAAACTGTGCAATGGTAAATGTTGTTTACCTGAGAGAAGAAATTAATGCATTTGTGCCTTTCTTGGAAATGGGTATCATCTTCTGAAAGGGAAACTGGACAACCAGGACATCTGAACGTCCAACGTGATGTAACCTAGGCAAACAAAAAAAGAAAAAGATTGCAATATTAAACAGAATACTGTAAACATTTCAAATGTAAATTAATATATTTGATATACATATTATATTTACTTTGACAGGTGGTTTTCTCGTAAGATGAGATATGAGGAAATTCATAGCGATATCCTCGCAATTCATATATTCGTCAACCTTGTCCCGTATTGCTTGCGGTAACCAATGTGTATAAAGATATGTGTAATGTTTATGAATGAACGCAGCACCGGTTAAAACCATTGATAACTCGCAGGAATAATTAGAATTATAGTTCCAAGCGTTATGATAATTTTGGTCCCATGCGTGAAAGCGACCAGGAAATCCAACCACACGATCTCGATGTTCTCTCCATACTCTATAAAAAAGAACCAATAAATATTATATGTAACATTTATAAATCATCACTTCTAAGAATAAAGATATATACCTGAATCCAAACATAATTTCATCGTGCCTCAAATGAGCGTCATCGTCGACCGAAAGAACAGCTTCCGTTTCGATAGCATCGAATGGGAGAAATCTGTTATTTAAACTATTCCTCGGAGCCTTGATGACCTGTATAAAAATTGTATTTTTTCAACGGCTAATTTACAAAGAATTTCAAAAAAATCTTACATGAATTGGGACTCCAATATCTGGCCACTTTAAATCTTCCATAGGTGGTTTAGGACTATTCCACAGAATCAAAACTTTATTTAAATAGGGCAATCCGTAAAGTCGAGCCAAAGAATTTATAAGAACTTGCTCTCGTTCGTATGTCAACATTACAATCGTAAATTGTTCTCTTGGATAGTTTCCACCTAAGGCTTCGCTAAATTCTTTGCCCGCGCCTCCAGCACCTTTACCGATTGGTCTGAATCCAACCTCAGATCCTGTAATTTGTAACCCATCGATAAAAGTATTTATATTTAATGATGTATGAGATATTACTTTTATTTACCAAGAAACTTCGCGTCGCTAGGAAGGACGGTATCGAAAGGTAATTGTGGATATAAATAGAATGGATCCACCCAGTCGTTCCAGATTTCATGTCCTTGGAGCAACATTGTCGTATAATTTCTTTTAAAAGCAGGAGATGGATAAGGTGGTTCCAAAGGTCCCAGACTTTCTTCTGCTTCCGGTTCAGAGATAATAGTATCAGACTTTAAAGGCTAGAGAGATAAAAAATTATTTTATACAATTGTTAAAGAATAAAAGGAACAATCGTATATTATAATATTTACCACAAAGCTTTCATTAAAGACACTTGGACTGGCAGTCTGAGGTGCTGGCAAGGGTGGTATACCGAGTCGATCTCTAATAACAGCTACAATAGTATCTACTGCACCCTGAGCGGTACTTAAATAACGTTCCCATATTAATCTGCCCTGCCTACGCATACTCAGAAGATCGGTGTCGGGAACGGCACGTAATAGGAAATGCATTTCAGTTACCCTGGCCTACAATTCGAAATACACTTAGTAGTTAAGAGTAACGTCACGTCGGAGATATCGTGGTTATACCTTCGGTAAAAAGATCGCTGCTCGACGCCAGCTAATAACTTCACTGTAACTCAATAAAATTTGATCACCGCCTAAAAAAACTGGGATTGATCCAGATCGTAAGGCTTCGTACAATCTCGCCTGCATAGTCGAAGTGGTTACGAACGAAGCATTGCTAGGAGCTAATATTAAAGTAAATGTAGACTCCTTGAGTATAGCTTTTCTCGAAGAATCGGTTCCACATAAAGACCAGTCAAGTATTTCTACTATATTCTTTTCCTCAGATGCTGGTATACACTCAAACTGAATGAAGAATTTATCCAATGTTAATCCCGTGCTCATTTCTTTAAGATGCTGAATGATAAATGTGTCTAAATTATTCTCGTCGACCGTTAGTCTATCCAAATCTATATCTGCATCGTCGATTTGATGCATCATAGTAGTGACTTTCTGAGATCTCATTTCTCCTTGAAAAGATAATAAATATTTTCTTCTAGCAGGTAACATTTGTGCACATTCTTGCCACACATCACCACCAGGAGGTCCTAAAATTGGAGGGACAACCAAATCGAAGCCCTCGCGAAATTGATTTCTATAGAATGTGGATTGTACAATTATAGCTCTTCCTGTATCCACATTGCTGAAAATATCTCCAGACTCTACAGATAAATCTCTACGTGCTAGATTTAATAAAATATGATTTCTGCCATCTCCACCCCAATAAGGGAGTGCATGTAGTTTCTTCACATCTATAGGTACAGGATACTTCTTATCAACTTTTTGTTGAATAGAAAGAGATTCTCCTATGAGCACTATATATATACAGGCTTCAGCTGCATTTGCAGTAAGATGTGGATTATACCCTGTTACATGGAAAATGTACATTTATTTAGAAAACATTTATAAATAATTGTAAATGATTTTATAATAGTATCTACCTAGTGTCTGTTTAATAGTAGTCTTTAAGAAACCATCGACATCCCAGCCAGGATTTATTACAGAATACTGATCTGGATCATATAAATATACTGGGAAACCACTTGTTAATGCACACCTACTGTGATCAAAACAATTGTACATTCTGCATGAATGTGGTATAGTGCTTGGTAATACCACAGGAACAGAAGACATTAATATGCGCTTAGGTGGTGCTAGTTCTGGTGTATTTCTCTCCACTGCTTCTCTTTGAGCTACTTGTGCTTGTTCAACACTGATTTTTAATCTGTCAAGATCTGTTTGTTGATGTAACAATTCTTGCTTTAGTTCATCAATTTTTTGAGTTAAACTGCTAACTTCAACTTGGAGTCTTTGTCTCTTTGCACTCAAATCTCTAAGCTCATTATTTACAGAAACTTTAATACGTAACATTTCTTCTATTCTCATTTTCAATTGAGAGGCTTTCATGGGAGTAAAATCTTCAAAAGCTTCCAGAGTAGAAAATGTACGATAAATGTCTTTATCTGGTGAATCAGATTCCACCTAAAAACATAAAAGTTTGACTGTATAAGTTTGTCATGTATAACATTTCTATACAAATACCTAAAATGAAATTAATACCTTTGATAAATAATAGTGAGTAAATAATGGTACAATGAATAAAACAGCAGATGTTAATATTATAATTCTAGATAATTTGATATGTGTTATCCAGTGACAAATTTCTTTTGCACTTCCATTTTGATGGTATAATGGAAGTATTTCAAATATACTTCCCCCCATTGTGTCTGTTACAGATTATCATTCATTTTTACTTAAATTCAAATCAATAAACTTGTTTTGTGATTGACAAATTCCTGTTAACACAATGAAAATTATGGTTATAATAAACATACGATTTTATATACCAAAACCATTTATTCCGCACAATGTATTAACATTTTTCAATTCAAATAAAATCGTAAAGACGACAAAATCATAATGCTAATGCAGCTATTTCTTACCAAGAACACAATAATTGTGGAATTTTGATTGGCATTATTGATCATTAACCTAACAAGAAAATATACTCCTCTCAATTTTTTGAAAACTGCAATCGATGAATATTACAGATGAATCATGTACATCATTACAAAAGGTTTAAAAAGTAGGTTTTATTTTTATATACATTCTCATAAAAAATAATTCGCACACATAAAATACTGAAGGAAAATTGTCCAAATCACACCAAGATTTCGATTCGAAAGGTTACATTGATGTAACTATTCTATAATAATATCAATATCAACATCAACATTGCTGTTATCTCATTAATGTTTATCCATCTGCTCTTTAACGTACGTCCTTGGAACTTCAGGCATAATCATTTATTTGCGTGGGCCACTATTTACGATAGCGTTTTGTTGTTATTTTACGAAGACTTCATCGTCTTGACTTTCGTCAAACGTAAGGAAAAGAAGTTTGTACCGATGCCACCCGACGTAAAACTTAATTGCTCGACGTTTTCGATGATTTTTTATCTTACAGTATCATAAAATGTGGCGTCCAAAAAATTCAATGTAACCTTTCAAATAACCCGCGACATTGTCCTCGAGGTTGCTTTACTTTAGCAACGTCTGGTGGCATTGCTTATAGTCTTGTTGGTGTATTTGCATTTCTCAGGACCTTCACAGAACATGCGCATGTTCATGTCAAGTGTAGTGCAAAGGAAATAATATTTTGGCTTTCGGGGGCCTAAAATTAGCTAAAATGGTGAGCTCTTAACAAATTTGTGAATCATGTTAATTCGACGATCATCGTGACGCGATTTAATTTACAATATTATATTACGGCTAGTATGCTCGCGACAATATATTGAAAATGTTAAAATAACCTATCGTGAGTTAACGTTAATGTTCCCTTTTGCACCAAATACAAATCAATTTCGTGGCAGATTTTGTGACTAACGGCATTGCAGAATAATGCATGAACTTCTTGTTCTACGTTTGCAATAAGTTACATTGACACTTACGGATTTACTAATTGTACGATATTCTTCAATGAAATGATACACAACGTAGCAACAATAGCTATTGTACACGCATCGAAATTGTGTATTTATAAGTTCTTCTCGAAGTTGACGTCCGCGTTACAAACAAACGAACATTTAAAGCTCCCTGATACATATCTATATGTTTACTAACAAATTTTTTATTTGATGTGCAAGGATAAATTGACTTCTCATGTTAATAATAATAATCCGTTATAATGTCGTATTTGGCTTTTGTTACAGCATAAATTAAAGTTCTCACAAAGAGACAAAGTGAGGAAATTCATTACATTTACACATACTGGAGAACAAACAGCAATATATTGTTTAGCACAAAATGATTGGAAGTTAGATTTGGCAAGTGACAATTATTTTCAAAATCCTGAGGCATATTATAAAGAACCAAAAAATACAGTAGACAAGAAGAAGTTAGAAATATTGTTTAGTCGATATCAAGGTAATTATATGAAAAATATTTAATGTGTGATACATGTATATAAATTTGAAGAATGATGCTTCTAATATTTTTATAATATTTTACCTGATGATTGAAATAGATCCCAATGAACCTGACAAGATTACAGCAGATGGAATAATGAAATTTTTGGATGACTTGGATTTAAGCCCTGAAAGCAAATTAGTATTAATTATTGCGTGGAAATTTAGGGCAGAAACACAATGTGAATTTACTAAAGATGAATTTATGAATGGGATGACAGACCTAGGGTAAAGCAACATTTTTTTTATCTCCTCTTTGTATTAAATAAACTAAGTCCTCTTACACATATTATTTGAATAAAATTCATTAAAATTATTCTTTCAGTGTGGACAGTATAGATAAATTAAAAGCCCGTTTAAGTAGTTTAGAAAGTGAATTAAGAGATCCTCAGAAATTTAAAGATTTTTATCAATTTACATTCAATTATGCAAAAAATCCAGGACAGAAAGGTTTGGATCTTGATATGGCAATTGCCTACTGGAACATTGTATTAGATGATAAATTTAAGTTCCTGCCCTTATGGTGTCAATTTTTACAGGTAAGATGTGTTAATGTGTATATATATATATACTTGTTATATAACATAAATATTGATCAAGCCTAAAAAGGAGGCTAAGATATTGGTCAGGAAAGTTGTAATACAAAAAAGTTAACACCATTTTCTAGGAACACCATAAGAGGTCAATTCCAAAAGATACATGGAATTTATTGTTAGATTTTGCCCTCATGATCAACCCAGATATGAGTAATTATGATGAAGAGGGAGCCTGGCCTGTACTGATAGATGATTTTGTAGAATGGGCACAGCCTCGCGTTCGTCAGACCCTCTAACATCTTTTTGTTATATCTTTAACTTCATATAAAAAAAGCTTTATTTATTCAATTATAAAATCGTATATTCTTCAAGTGATACTTGATCATATTTTTCTGATAGAGCAACATCATTTTACTTTGTGTACAGAGTATATGGTAATGAAGCAAAAGTATTATAATTACTAGAATCAATCATAATGTATAATAACTCTGTAATGTAAACAAATTTATATTTAAAAGAAGAATTAATCGTAAAAAAATAAGCTAATTTCGTATAAAATTAGAGGTTCTGTATCATTTGATTCCAAATTATATTACATGAATATTAAAGCTTGACATAAGAATTGCATTATTATACATCTGTCTGTACAAAGTAATATGATGTATAATCAGTTTGTTCGAAAAATAATGACAGTGGAAAATGTTGCTCAACTACCGACGGTATTTGCAAACATCAGAAGAAATCGCCAACTGTGTTCCTTTGCACGAATTTGGCTTCAAAAGGAGAAATCATAAAAACGATTCGTTTATACCTTTTTGTAGATAGTAATTTCTAGAAATTGCGTTGTTAAAAATTGTTATTAAATAAATTTTACGACACACTACAGAACACTTGTAATATACATACAAAAAACACAGAGAGAAAAATCTGTATTTTAAATGTAATGCTATTTCGGCACTGGTATACTTATCTTTTTTATAATCACCGGTCTGAATGGTGACAAAAAAGATTTGTTTCTGTTTTATTAATGGAGAGTAATATTTATATTGTAATTCTGAGGTACTATAGATGTTAGAGAAAATAAATTAAGGATTTTTTACAAGTTTAAATTATGGGTTTCATTTACGATTATTGCAGATTAAATATATTTTATTTATATTCTTCCAAAAATCGTGATTATAGATGTTTATTGATTTTAAGATTCATGCGAAATGAATTCACGTCGACCGATATAGAAAAAGGAACTGATAAAAACAGATTTAATTCTCACATAAAATTTTTTGTCTGTACTGCAAAGTGTTAAAGTTGTTAATAACATATTACATTTTATGTTTTTTCCTATTTCATAATGCGTTGTGTGATTAATGCTTTTGTAGTTTAGTACAGTACACAAATTTTCAAGACTACTAATCACTTTAATTTATATATAATGCAAAGAGATTAAAGAAACATAATGTAAAGAAATATATATCTCTGCAACTTTACAGTTAACAGTTAAGGAATCAAAACACTATATCCATTTAGGTATATCAACATTGAAAGGTGCAAAGTAGAGAATTAGCAATATAAAAGATACGTCGTCCAGAAATTTTGGATTATATTTTATAAAAATGTTGAAATAGATGGAATGAAGGAGGTTCTGACATATGCATCCATTATAAAAAGAAGAGTCCAGTTAAATATTGTCAGGAATATGTTTGCGCAATGCGGAAGAGAAATTCAGGAAAAATGTATATTACATTTCATTTAAGTGATACTAAAGAAAATACGATTTTCAGATTTAAGCTACGTTATTTTTTTAATAGTTTAAGCATTGCGTGAACGCTAAAAAATTGTAATAGTTTTAGGAAGAAATTGTACATAATGTAAATAAATCTGTCAGTCTTAATCTACGTAGCACGTCTAATTAAATAAAAAATTCCGCTATCTTCACACCATAACAATTATTTTTAGACAAAATGTTTCTAACTACGAGAATAAAATAAAATTCCATCGTAAATTTAACGTTTTACAATTTTTTTGCTGTATTTGTGTAGCTTTTCAAATATTTACATATGCACACATCAAAAGTTCAATTCTTTCACTAGATCAGGGGTGTCGAATTGGCGGCTCCTTCTCCTCTTTGCCTGCTCCGCAGAGCCATAGAAGAACGGCCCCCTCCATACCTAATTCACTCTGATGAAGTCACTACTACAGATTCGTGTAGCTCTCAGAGGGGAAATTCAACACCCCTGCACTAGACTATTATTATGGTTTCTGCAATGACTGCCACAGTTGCATAAAGAATTACAGCCACATATTGAATTGTATGGGTATAAAAAAGCCAGCTCATATTGGTATGCTTCTTCTGCATTGTAATATTTGCTTAATATTTCCTCTGTATACCATTTGCATAAATGTTCCAACTTGTCTATAGTTGTCTACATTATTTGTTTTATTGTTAATCTGATATGCATTACCATTACTTAAAAATATCAAATTGTGCTGTATTTATTAAATATCAGTTATACTATATGTAATTGTAAATGCTTACCTGTGCAATAACTAATCCCTGGTTTGGATTGGTACTTGTACTATGACTATGAGAGTCAAAAAAAGTTACCTAAAGATAAAAGTTTTATATAGCAAACATTTTTTAGATTTAAGCAGCAAACATACCATATTAGTTGTTTCTTGAAATATAAACAATACCGTGCGTCCACAGGTAATAAGAAGCATATATAAATTCTTAGATCCTGGTGCTAGGTACCATTTGTGCAAGAAATTACTTATGTGTTGATATAAATTATTTTCGATTTCGATTTTTTCATAAAATATTTGAAATGCCTAAGAGATAATAAATATATTTTAAATGTTCCCTGTTACTCATTAAAGAAATTTAAGATTAAACTGTACCCATTCTCTTAACAGACTTAAACTTTTGCCTCCAAGTTTTAGTGCCTCTCCTGTATTAAGACAGGGATTAGAAACTAAGCCTTTTTTAACAATCCATGCATGCATAGCATTACCCTCTATCATAGCTTCAGCTATGATTACAATGATTTCAGGACATTTTTCTACATTGTATACTGATAATCCCGTTTGAGATATTCGCTGAGCGACAAGAAGACAAATAAGAGTACATGCTTTGCTAACTAGAATAAAATAATTGTATTAGTAACAGCGAAGTTAAAGTAAATGCGTGTAGGATGTAAGTATATTTTTTACGTTTTTGTCCTGGAGGAAATCGACTTTGCGAAAATTCCTGATTGTACCAATATGTTATTACGTTATTTTCGAACAAACTTTTCGTGTACGGAGGGAAGAATGAATTGCGCAACGGCGATAAGGACATAACTCTTTATGCAACTCTCAGTTAACTGTCTTGTTGAATTTGATTTAGAGTTATTCTTATAAAAATTTTGCGCCCCGACTATTAGAAGCCATGAAGCTAGTTGAAAAATAAATTTATTTTCAAATTCACGCAAATCGATTTTCTAAACTGGAAGATATGCATACAGCTTCATACTGATGGAACAAGTCTCGACGTATTTGTTTTTTTTTTTTTTCGGAAATGTCTGCAAATATGTGCCATACGATGAAAATCTTTCATAAGTTAGATAAGGAATAGCGATATGTTGCGGCGACATCAACTCCATTTCGTATTTGGGCGTGCGAACGAACAGCTGGTTACTAGGACCATAAGATGTAAAAAGAGGTATGAGAGTAGGAACACACTACACGCGAGAAGGGTAGAGAGAAAACGTTTCCTATTGGTCCAGAAGCACCTAACTTCCACCCCCCAAATAGTAGATCATACCAACGTAGAAGATTCATTGATTATCAACGATTGCATTATCTACGAATAATTTGCGCATTTTTAGTATGAAAAAATACAATATGCACCTTGATTATCCATTTAAATAATTAATTATTAACAATTTTCATGCAATATGTCTGAATTGATATTACGTATCGTAAAAATTTGTTATTAATTCTGCACGTTTATGCGAATAATTTGGGTATTTTTATGCGTGTACATAATATACGCATTGGTAGTAATAGAGAAATGAGTAAGACAAGGAAAGGAATAGGGTTAGACAAGGATAGCATTAGAGTAATGAGTTAGACAAGGAAAGATATAGGGTTAGACAAGGATAGTATTAGAGAAATGAGTTAGACAAGGAAAGATGTACAGTTAGACAAGGACAGAAAATTTTTAGTCTGGAACTAACGCCATCTAGCGTTAGGTGACGCGAACTACGATTTTTTAATAGGAAAACAGGATATAAACAGAGGTATTAGACAAGGATAGCACTAGTGTGCGACAAGGATAGAGAGAGAACGTTTCCTATTGGCTGGCAAGCCGCTATGCTCCATCACCCACGGACTAATCAGGTTGGTTGGGGAAAAATCATTAATAACTCAATAATTACGACGATTCTGTGAACTTTTAGAATTGAAGAATGTAGTATGAACCTTCAGCAACTTTCCCATATAGTTTTTAAAGCTCTAAGTCTCTTCAGTAATTAGTTATTAACAATTGTAGTACGTGATGTCGGGACGATACCCCGTGTCGCAACAGTCCCTTGCGATTTTTCATTAATTTCGTACCTTTACTCGTATAATTTATGCACTTTAATACATTCACAGAAAAGCCTGATCCTTTAGCTAGCTTCTCGTATAGATTTTAATGTTCTAGACCTTTTCGATAATTAGTTATTAACAATTTTAGTACGTGATGTCGGGACGATACAGCGTGTGGAGACAGTTCCTTGCGGTTTGTCATTAATTTCGTACCTTTACTCGTATAATTTATGCACTTTAATACATTCACAGAAAAGCCTGATCCTTTAGCTAGCTTCTCGTGTAGATTTTAATGTTCTAGACCTTTTCGATAATTAGTTATTAACAATTTTAGTACGTGATGTCGGGACGATACAGCGTGTCGCGACAGTTCCTTGCGGTTTTTCATTAATTTCGTACCTTTACTCCTATAATTTATGCACTTTAATACATTCACAGAAAAGCCTGATCCTTTAGCTAGCTTCTCGTATAGATTTTAATGTTCTAGACCTTTTCGATAATTAGTTATTAACAATTTTATTACGTGATGTCGGGACGATACAGCGTGTCGCGACAGTTCCTTGCGGTTTTTCATTAATTTCGTACCTTTACTCCTATAATTTATGCACTTTAATACATTCACAGAAAAGCCTGATCCTTTAGCTAGCTTCTCGTATAGATTTTAATGTTCTAGACCTTTTCGATAATTAGTTATTAACAATTTTAGTACGTGATGTCGGGACGATACAGCGTGTGGAGACAGTTCCTTGCGG